GGGTCTACCATCAGAAAAGCCTCAGAAGACTTGCTCTGAGAGCTAAGTGCTAGAGCTGCCTAAATTCATCAAGGAAATGAGAAAAAGAAAAGGAGAAAAGAAAGTGGGAAGGAAAGGAAAACATGAGCTAGCAAAACAACATGACCTACTTTGCCACTTTAGGTATATTGTTCTGTCCTTCCTCTCTGAAATTATCATTCAACTATTCAGCAAAAATGTATTGAATACCTGCTATATATCAGGCATTGTCCGTGACACTTGGGATCCAACAGCAATCCAAAGAGACGATGATGCTCCCCCAAGCGGCCTGGTATTCTAGTGGAAGAAGACAGACAACAAAATAGTGAACATATTAAACAGATAAAGTAATCTAATTTGTAATTCATAAGTATATTTATTACTATAAAATATATAATAGAACCTCTTATGCGCTATATAAAGCATATAACATATTTAAAATATATAACATAGCTTATAAATCGTCCGGTACTTCGGAAGGTAAAATGTGCCATCGTAAGAGCAAAGACAAAGGGAGATTGGAACTGCTGAAGAGGCAGGCAGGCTCCAGCATCAGTTAAGAGTGGTCAGGGTAGGTCTCATTGAGAAAGTGACATTGAGCAAAGACCTGAAGGATGTGAGGGCATTAGTTCTATGTAACTTGTTGTGGCCTTCCTTTTTGATATCCAAGAAAATTAGAACCGAATTTGAGACTCAAACCCAGTACTCTAGAGGCCCCTGTGGTCTGCAAATGTGTGGTCTTTTGTCCCCTGGAGAGGCAGGACGGGACAGTGGTTAAGGGCATGAGTTCCAAAATCAAACTAGACTTAAATACTGGCTCTACCACTGACTAGTTACATGACTTTGGGCATCGTATTTAATCTCTCTGAGCCTTGGTTCCCTATATCCCGAAATAAAGATAATAATAGCACCCACCTCGTAGGACTCTTTTAAGAATTAAATGAAATAATGTACACAAATTCCTTTGCATGCCGGAAGAACTCAATAAACACCGGCTGTAATGATTAAGCCTTGTCTCTCAAAGTTTATTTACATTTTCCTTGGTCCTGATTCTCTATCTTTATTGACATTTTAACATTGTTTTATGGTTTCTACTCCTGTGGTAAGCAACCTCAAATCCTTTGTTGATTGGGGTGGGTTATAAATAAGTAAGTAAATAAATAAAAATCTGGATGGGGGACATTTTCACTGAAGCAAAACATTTCATTACTGATAGAGTGAATTGCAAGTGAGGTCATAAGCTAGAAATATTGACTCCAACAGTGCATCAGAAACCACCAGCAAGCCACTCTCTGGTTACTCAGACCATCTTTCTCCCTCCCAAAGCCCTCTTTCTCCCCTCATCAAGAGCGGGTAAATGAGTCATACAAAATGACTCAAGAAGCCTACATCCTCCCAACCTCACAATTACTTCACTGCCGTGAACCTCACAGAACACTCCTTCTTCCCCATAAGAGAAGAGAAAGGAAATCAATGGGGCTGCTTTCCATGGTGATGCGGTTAAGGAAGAGGGGTGCTTGCTGAGTGCAGAGTCAGACGTAGGTTAGAATCTCATTACTGCTATTAATTAGTGAGCGCTGTGGCCGTAGGGAAGTCCCTTGCCCTCTCTGTGCCTCAGTTTTCTCATCAGTAATAACAGAACCTCCCTTTTAAGGGGCTTGTGAAGAAGAAAGAAGAGAGTCCATGGAAGCAACGTGAAGAGCTTATTTGTAAAGCCCTCAATAAATGTCAGACTTTCTTTCCTTATCTGTACCCGAGGGCAACACTCAATGGACTATAGGAATCTGGAACATTTAAATAAGAGGGTGTACAGGGCAGATACGAGATCAGAAGACAAGTTTGGGTATATCTCTATGTGATAGAAACTCCCTACAAGAAGCAAAGGAGAAAGATCATTTTTGATCCCCTACTATTTTCTAGGTATATTATCATACTCCTTCCTCACCATAACCCTTTGAGATGGGCATTGCTATCCACACCTGACAGCTGGGGCTGGGCTTTGCACCCAGAGCACACAGGTAGGAATGCTTAGGAGGCAGTGCTGGCCTTCCAAAGTTGACTTTATGAAGGACAGCTGGTTGCTGTCCTTCATAAAGTCAACTAGCATCACAGGCACCACTGACAGAAATCTGCCAACTCCCACCCTCCCTGGAGAGCCACGCCCTTGTGACTCCCAAGCTGGCTTCAGCAAAAATCTGGGCCAGGGCTTCCCTGGAGGCGCAGTGATTAAGAATCCGACGGCCAAAGCAGGCGACACAGGTTTGAGCCCTGCGCTGGAAAGACGTCACGTGCCGCGGAGCAACTAAGCCCGTGCGCCACAACTATTGAGCCTGCGCTCTAGAGCCCGCAAGCCACAACTACTGAAGCCCATGCACCTAGAGTCCGTGCTCCGCAACAAGAGAAGCCACCGCAATGAGAAGCCTGCACACCGCAACGAAGAGTAGCCCCCGCTCGCCACAACTAGGAAGAGCCCACATGCAACAACAAGGACCCAACACGGCCAAAAATAAATAAATTTTAAAAAAAAATCTGGGCCAGGGTGACCTTGCTGAGGCTCCCTCACTTCATCAGTCACCAGGGTCTCTGCCCTATGAGCTTGGGCTTTGGAATTAGCTAGATCTTAATTTGAAACACATACCCCTCACATATCAACTGTAGGGCTGTAAATAAGTCACTTCTTTCTGGTTCCTCTTCTGAAAATGGTGACATCAAAATGCCTGCCTCGCAAAATTGCCATGAAGATTAAACAGAGCATTGAAAACATACAAAACAGGGCCTGGCACATACCAAACGCTCATTTATGGTAGCTGCTGTTGTTACACTGACACTGTCTGGGGAAAATCAGCCTTATGCTGAATGACGGAGATGATACTTTCAGGGAGGGAGAGTGGGCCCTTGAGCACTGGCTGACACATCTACCCACAGTTTCCCCATTATCTGACATTTGACCCTTCCCCTTGTTCCACAAGAAACAACTTGAGGATAACAAGACCCAGCTGGGCTCTGTGCCCCTCCTAGAAAAAAAAAAAAAAAAAGATGAATCAAGGCCCAGCCCAGGGCCTCCCATTCACTGCCCTTGATCCACCAACATGGACTGATGGTCCCTTCAGTGCTGGGAACTGGAGAGAGAGGAGACTCAGGACTTCATACGGCACTTGGGGTAAAAGACAAGGAACCGTTACTATAGCAAACAGAAAGGAATGAGGGCTGAGTGTCTTTGGGAATATGAGAGAAGCCTCCATAGAGGAAGAGGTATTTGAACTGGAACTTAAAAATTAGGTAAGACATGGCAGGGGATGGTATCCCAGGCTGAAAGCACAGCATGAACAAAGGCTAGAAATGGGAAAATGCAGTTTGTTTAGAGAACAGAGTAGTGTGGTAAGGCTGGAGAACTAGGATGCCAAAGGACTAAGGTGAGAGCTGGAAGTGAAGGGCTAGTGAACCCTACAGGCAAGGAACACGAAATAAAGGTCATGACTACCATGGAGAAAATGGGGGGAGTGGGTCTGCATTTAAAATAGGGTGGTCACAGAAGGCCTCTTTGAGGTGACACACTTAAGAAGTAAAGGAGCAAGCCATTTGACTATCTGGAGGAAGTTTCCAGGCAGAGAAAATAGCAGTGCAAAGGTCCTGAGGCCACAAGGTGGCTGCCATGTTGGTGACGCATTGAAAAAGGCCCGTGTGACTGGAGTGGTAGGAAGTGAGGTTACGGAGTTAAATAAAAGGGAGCCAGCTCATGAGAGGCCTTGCAAGCCATTACAGGGGCTTTAGCTTTCACTTGAACGAATGGAGAGCCATTGTAGGATTTCCAGTAAAGGAGCAACGCGATCTGACTTACGTTTTAAAAGGATAGCTCTGACTGCTTCGTAGAGAATCAACTGCAGGGGGCCAAGGGTGGCAACGGGGAGACCAGTAAGGAGGCTATTGCAGAGATCCAGGCGAAAGAGGACGGCAGCTGGAACCAGGGTGGTAGCCCTGTGATGGTGCGCCTCGGTTTCCCCATGTGAAAACGAAGCTTAGGATGCCGGCCCTGTATGCCTCCCAACGTCTCAAAAAGCCCCCATCGGGATGGAATGCCAGGAACCTCCGGCCAGCGGGGTGCCAGCCTGGGAAAAGTGGGACTGTGGGGCGCGTGGGCAGCTCCTTGCGCGTCCAGGCCGCCGGTGCCCACGAGAAAGCCTAGACAGGTACACGCCCCGTGATGCGCGTCAGGAGGGTGAGACCTGGCGGAGAAAGGTCTTGCTCCTCAGAGACTGAACAGGGAATGGTGGGAAGGCGAGTGCCTCTCCCGAGTCCTGGAGCGGGTCCTGGGTATCCAGCACTGTGCGCGCCGCTGTATGCAACCACTCTGCTTGTGCAGGTGCGGCAACGGCATCGTGCGGGCATCATGCGGGGAGCGCCACAGCACCCCCTCCATGCAATTCCCCCCCACCCCCCGGCTATGACCCCTTTGTCTCACTTTTCCCTACCCCCAGCTGTCTGCCTGGCGGTCCTGCACCGGGTTCGGCGCGCACGGCCCCGCCGGTGTCCCTCTGGCGGCCGCCGTAGCAGCGCAACCCGGGCCTGGGGCTCCCGAGAGGAGAAAATCATGAATGAAATAGATGCGGTGCTCCCGCTCCCCCGCCCTCCAGGTCCAGGCAACCTCGGCGTGGGGGCGGCGCCTGAGGGGACTCCGAGCGGAGCTGCGGGGTGGGGGGCGCCCGAGATCCGGGTCGGGGAATAAGGGTCCGCGACCCGGCCCCACCTGGGCCCTGGGCGCCGCAGGAGCTCCCCGCCCCCGCGCTAGCCAGCCCCTCAGGCCCTGCGCAATTCCCGGGAAGCGGCGCAAGCCCGCCCGGGGGCGGGGCGGAGCCGGGACTAAGGGCGAGGAGCCGACCTGGCGGCTGCGCCCGAGACTCCGCAGCCGAAGCGCATTTGGTGAGGCGATCTGAAGAGGGAGCGCGCACGGAGCGCGGGACTGAGCGCCGGGCAGACGGACCGACGGACGGACGCCCCCGCACACGCAGACGCACGGAGCTCGGCGAGGTCCCCGTCACACATATACACACACACACACACACACACACACACACTCGCGCAGACACACACAGGGACACACGCACACTCGCGCGCGCACATCCTCCCGCCAGCCTACCCGCCCGCTCGTCGGCGCCCGGAGTCAGCTCTGGCCGGTAAGTGCGGCGCCTCCGTCGGCGCCTTTGTGTGGGGAGGTGGAAGGTGGAGGGCGCGGGGTCCCTCCCAGGGAGCCCCGGCAACTGAGACCTCCTCCAGACCCCCAGGCGCAGAAGCCAGCGCCCGCCCCCGCCACGCCCCCGTGGGGCTCCCGACGCCCCGGGACTGGGGGAGGGGTCCCCCACGCCTGGGAGGGGACCCGGCGCTGGGTAGAGGGGAGAGAGCAGCGGCCACTCCCCACGAAGCTCGTGCGCGGTTCCGGAGAGGGAGGGGAGGGATCGGGATGGTGGTCCGGGGTGCGAGCCTCTCTGCTGCCGTGGCTGGTGCGCGGCTCTTGGCTGCATTACCTACCTCTCCAGGGTCTGAAGCTCCGGAGGAAGGTTGGAGATCGTCGCTAGCCTGCTGGCCTGTAAACCGGGGCTCCCAGCCTTCGCTTCGCTTCGCCTCGCCTCCCCCGGACCGTGTAGCTTAAACCACCAGTTCCCCACCCGCCCCCAAAATGAAAGCCCAGCGTGTTCCCCTCCCCCAGCATGCCCCTTTTTCCTGGATGAGGCCCAGGCTCCTGCAAAACGTGGAGATTGCTCGGGTCAGACTTCTGAGGGGTTTACTTTACCAAGGATCATGTACCTTAGAGGGTCAAGACCAGGTGAATCTTGGGAACTCATTCAACGCCCTCATTCTACAGACGGAGAAACTGAGACCCAGTGAGGTGGCTTGACCAAGGTCACGGGAGAGTTACTGGCAAAGCCTGCATTAGAATCTAGCATCCCTGGCTTTCATACTCATGTTCTCTCCTATACAATTCCATCCTTATCCTTGTTGAAACCCCAGATCCCAAAAATTTACCGGAGTTTGTCAGGAAAGTCTCTGTAATTCCAGCCCTGCCCCCTTTTGGAGCATCAGGTGCCATTCATTTCCTACCATACTTACTGTTTAAAAAAAAAAAAAAAGGCTGGCCTTTAATTTGCCTCTTTCAGCCTCAGAGGAGATCTTGAGATTTAGTTTGGGAGAATGAAGCAGTCCTGGACAGGAGATCAGATTCCAGGGTGTTAGTCCTGGTTCTCCCAGGAGTCACTGAACCAGTGTCCTTAGTTGGACCAGGTAATGTCATGGTCAAGGAGTCATCCCCCTTTCCCCCACCTTGACCTGACTGTGTGCCTTCCCCCTCACTCTACCCCCCTCCTTAAGGGCCTAGGTCTTCTAATCCAACCAGGCTCCCTTCATCATCCCTTTGTAGAGGTCTCTGAGTCTTTCCTGTCCGGCCACCTCTCCCTCCTTGATGTTTGTTGAGTGCGGCCTCTTGGTGTTGCTGACAGAGCTGCTGGGGAAGCTTGAGTTACAGCCTCACCAGGCTCGGGTGATGGCTCAGGCAAGGCTCCCTCAAAGGCAGCTGGGTATCCCCAGAGCTGAACCCGATGCCTGGTGCAGAGAGGGTGCCCCCAGAGGTATGTTGATGGAGTGCAAGCTGGATGGGGAATGGATAAAGTCAGTCATCTTTGAGAAGACTCTGTTGGATGGGGGAGTTGGCAAGGAGGACAGTGTTCAGTCTCTAGGGGCCTGAGGTTCTTTTCTCAAGAGCTTCCTTCTTGGGTGAGCAACCTGGCATGGAGCAGAGACAGGGTGACCAGCTGGCATAACTCCAGGGGCCACCACTCACATGGTTGTGCCTGTAAATGGCGTTGTGCTCCAGAAGCACCATTTACATAGACTTCATAATGAGCAGTGGCCCGTGGGTTATTGCAGTGCCATGGGTCTCACCCTCAGAGTGAAGAGATCTGGCTGGACAGTTGCAGTGAATGCTTACAATCTTTCTGGGTCTCAATTTCTCCAAAAAATAAGATCATTGGATTGGTGTCAGGATATCTTTTAGGTCTGAACTGTTGGGGGGGGGCTGGGGAAGGGGGGGAGCACTTATAGTTTTCCTCTTCTATTACTCTGTGATGAAATCATTTATGTAGGGTACTTAGCACAGGGCCTGGGGCATAAAAAAAGCTCCGAAGAGGTAGCTGTTAATATCATTAAGGCCCCAGCCTTATGGATATACCTTCCACTTCTTTTTTTTTTAAAATTTATATTTATTTATTTACATATTATTTTGGCTGTGTTGGGTCTTCGTTGCTGCGCGGGCTTTCTCTAGTCGCGGTGAGCGGGGGCAACTCTTCGTTATGGTGCATGGGCTTCTCATTGCGGTGGCTTCTCTTGTTGCAGAGCACAGGCTCTAGAGCACAGGCTCAGTAGTTGTGGCACACGGGCTCAGTAGTTGTGGCACACGGGCTCAGTAGTTGTGGCTTGCAGGCTCTGGAGCGCAGGCCCAGTAGTTGTGGCGCACGGGCTTGGTTGCTCCGTGGCGTGTGGGATCTTCCCGGACCAGGGCTGGAACCCGTGTTTCCTGCATTGGCAGGCGGGTTCTTAACCACTGTGCCACCAGGGAAGTCCACCCTCCACTTCTTCCCTTCTTCAGATTGCCAAAGGACATGAGATTTTGAATCCTGAAAGTCCCTCTCCCTCAAAAAATCCCTCCTCTACTGATCTATTCCTGGACTTAGGGCTCAACCAGCATAGGACATCCATGAAGTTCCCTGGGAGAAGTCGCTTTTGTTTATCAGTTATTTCTCACCTAAGGATGATTGAATTTGATAGTTTATATACAGTCAAAGCTTTTCTTACACACTGTCACTTATATTTAATCCTCATAACACACCCATGATATCAATAGCATTATTATTCCCATTTTATAGATGCGGAAGTTAAGACTCAGAGTTTAACTTATCTAAGGATTTGTACGGTAAAAGTCTCAGAGCCCGAGAGCTGTGTCTCCAGCTCAGAGCTTTTGACCCCAGATTCTGAACTCTTTCTTCTATGTCACGTTGCCTGTCCTTTCCTGAAACCTGTCCGAAAAGAGAGACAGATGACCCCTTGGATAGAAGCGAGAAGGAGGGGTTTATTCTTCTGGAAGACGAGGAATGGCTTCTTGGAGAAGTGAGGTAGCATTTGAGCTGGGTCTAAACGATTTGTACAATGGAAGGAAGGAGGAAAATATTATAAGTAGTGGAAACAGCATGAGCAGAGAGCCGGCGGTGGGGGCTTCTAGGACGTGTGTAGAAACTGGAAAGCAATTCATTCCAACTGGGCAAAAAGGATAAAAGAGGAGCCATGAGAAGGAAGCCTGGGTAGGAAGGTGGAGGCAGTTGCTGGGAGCCTTGAGTGCCAAGCCACGTGATCATCGGCCTTTAGTTTTTGAGTGGGGGAGAGACATGATCAAACATGGACATTAGGAAACTCACTCTGGCTGCCCCATGGAGAACAGATTGGAGGGGGAGAGCCTGCTGGCAGGGAGCCCAGGTAGGAAACAATGACAGCGGTATAGGTAAGAGTTAAGGAGGGTTTGGATAGGGGAGATGGGGGGCGAGGGGTTGTAAGAATGAAGAGAAAGAGGAGTTGAAGCAGGAGGCCACAGTGTCACCAGAGCTGGCAGCGGATTGGATGTGGGAGTGGAGGGAGGGAGGAATGAGAAGTGACGGTAAGGTTTGGAGCCTGAGTGGCTGGGTATCCATTCTCAGACAGAGCCCAGCCGGAGGGGGAAGGGGAGGCTCAGGAGTGAGGGCCATGATCTGACAGGGTACCAGAATGACTCCTGCAAAGCTGGCTCACCGAGCACCTCAAAGTGTCCAGAGCCAGTTGCTTCCTTCCTCCTTCATTCATTCACTTATTATCCAAATACATAGAAACATCTGTTACATGTGAGGCTGTTCTAGGCTCTAGGGATACATTGCTGAAAAAGATGAACTTCCTGTCCGAGCTCTACCAAGGGAGACAGAAAAGAAAACGTAAGCAAACGATAACATTTCAAGAGGTGAGCAATGCTCTGGAGACAAATAAAGCAGGATGAGGGTTGACTGTGGGGGAAGAGATTTACCTTTAAAAAGAATTGCCTTCAAGGAAGTGGTATTTGAACAAAGACCTGAATGAAGTGAGGAAGTGACCTTGGGGAAGAGCATTCTGGGAAAAGGAGACCGCAAGTGCGAAGGCCCTGGGGGTAAGAATAGCTTGGTGTTTTCAGGGAACAGCAAGTGTGGCCGGAAAACATAGGTCAAGAGGGAGGGTGGAAAGGAAAACATAGGTCAAGAGGGAGGGTGGAAAGGAAAACGGTAGGAGAGAGGGGCAGGCCCAGATCACATAGGTGCTTACAGGCCTGAGGAATAAGAGGTCGTATGATGTTAATGAGTACAAGAGAACTGGAGTCCTGTTCTCCTTGTGTTCGTCATGCCTAGAAAACCAAGCCCGACACTCAGCAGTGGCTCACTAAATAGTTGTCTAATGAATGAATGTTGGAAACCACCATTTATGTACGAAGCCTCCTATCTTGGACTAAATAAAGTTGTTGTAGCATAGTAAGGGCATAAGTAAGCTATGTATGATCAAAATGATAAAGCTCAGATGATTTGAATATCTGTGATGTCATTCAAGGATGAAAATTTGAGTCACGTCTGTATGTTCAGTATGGCTGTTGACTAAGGCGAAATAGTAAAACATACCCGAAGTGACTGTAAAACAATTAAAATGGTAACATTTTTTGGTCTTCCCTCATCCCCTTTCCAGTGCAAATATACAACCTTCTGGCTTCATTTCAAATTTTCCCTTGTGCAACTCTTATGCCCTCAGCCATTTCCCTTGTAGAGATTTTAAAGAAACTCATCTCTAGCCCAAAGGCCCATATTTGCAGGACAAGGAATTATCATCTTCAATAACTTGACAGATTCCCAAAAATGGCAGAGAGGGCAGTGGGGAAAGAGAAACTATTTACAGAAGTATAAATTCTTTAAGCACCCCATTAATTGTTTAAATGGATCTATAAGTGCGAATGGAAAAACTCCGGAAGATGGTTAATCGTTTAAAGCTTTCTGTCTGCATTCAGTTGGACACAGGGTGTGTGTGAACATTTCAAAACGTATGGCACTCTTTACCAAAAATTGAACTCACACACCAGGAAATATGTTCT